GGGATGTATATTAAGACAATGCTTTTTGATGACGCCATGTTGGAACAGTAAGTCCTTCATTCTTGCTTTGCAACGTTTCTAAGACCAACGGTCAGCTGAACAGCTTGTGCACGGAGCCATTGGCGAGGGTGGCCCACAGAGTCTACTAGGGACCTATTCTGCCCCGGAATTTCCTAGGTGAGATACGCTTTTGGAAATAGGGACCGCTGATGTAGATACATTAGATTCAAACGTTATAATGCTGAATTTAACGAAGATCCTATTTATTTCAAATCAGGAAGCTTTGAGTTAAAATAGTACTGTATCATTTAATAAACTGTGACTCGTGAGATCATATATACTGAGTGACTCACTCAGCCACGTCAACATGACTGTCGTTTCTAATTATAGTTCTGAATCATACTCCTTCACTAGGGTCCTGGTGCCACATTCATTACATTGCACTGAACACCGACTCTAAGATAACAAATCTAACAAACAAACAAAAAATCACATGAAACTAAATGTACTTCGATTTTTACTCTGGGGCGGTGGGGTAGCCTAGTGGTTAAAGCGTTCGCTCGTCACTCCGAAGACCCGGGTTCGATTCTCCATATGGGTAAAATGTGTGAAGCCCATTTCTGGTGTCCCCCGCCGTGGTATTGCTGGAATATTGGTTTGTTTGTTCTCCAACGCCGCACTCGGCAATATTCCAGCTATATGACGGCGGTCTGTAAATAATCGAATCTGGACCAGACAATCCAGTGATTAATATCATGAGCATCGATCCACGCAATTGGGATACGATGACATGAAATCAACCAAGTCAGCAAGCCTGACCACCAGATCCCGGTAATATTGGAACTCACTCGCTCTTGATCTTTGGGATAAATCAAGTCCCCAATTTATTTGTCTAGGACAAATCCTTTTGTCTGACAATCGCTATTGTTATGCACTTTTATCCAGCCGCAGCCCTGTAAAACGAGATCAGGCCTATTGCGTAAAATGGCAGTTAATTATTTGCCGGAATTGTAATATATCTGGATCGGTAGTCAGGCTAGGTGATTTTGTTGATTTCATGCCATCTTGGATCGATGCTCATGATGTCTGTCACTGGATTGACTGTTCCAGAGTCAATCATTTACACACCGCCATCGTACAGTTTGGCTTTAAACAACGAACAAGCAAGCTTTCTACAAAAATAATTAGGAACGCAAAATATTTCGTCTTGCAAATAACTCGACACTTTTGATTCGTGCACATCCTTTACAAGTTTCAACCACAGGAGTTTCTGACATGAAAAGTTGGTAAATTCTTTTCACAAGATATCGTATCCTAACTGCATAGAGTATATTTGTCTGTTATTGTCAAATAAGTTCATCTCATCGCGAGTGACCTGCAAAGTTGATATTTTCTTGAGTGGCACATGAGAAAATCTACTGGTATATTTGAATCTTAGACGTATATTTGGCAATGAGGAAAAATAAATTGACAACTAAGCATCTTTAATTTACACATATACCTCTAATTCATCAAGAAATCGACCCGTGAAGATCCGGGGTAGAATAGGTCTTCAGCAACCCATACTTGCCGTAAAAGGTGACTATGCTTGTCGTAAAAGGCGACTAACGCGATCGGGTGGTCAGGCTCGCTGACTTTGTTGATGCATGTCATCGATCCCAATTGCGTGGATCGATGCTCATGATATTAATCACTCGATTATTTACAGACCGCCGTCATATAGCTGGAATATTGCCGAGTGCGGCGTTAAACAACAAACCAACCAACCAACAAAAAAACATCGAGAAGTCAACATCCACAATTTCAAGCGCAAAGCTTTGTCACGTGAAGATCTGATGATGATAGTAAAGTGAACTTTAAAAGCAAAGTGCTGAGTCTGCGTTACTATTATTATAACACCGTCACTCTAACCTCCTGTTGCCGGAGCCCACACCTCTTCCCTCGACCGGTAACACTCCCACCCCCAAACACTGTAGGACCGTTTTCTAATTTTAGGAATTGTGCAACACCTTATTGTGCAGGTCCGTCTCTTTGTATGCGCAACACGTGGTGTTTACGAGATACACTGACACAGGCTCTCCTGCCGCGGTATTCAGACATTTGTCATAAAAACTATTACCAGCACATTACCATAAAAGTCTTCGATGTGCCGTGGTGATATGGTTTTGTTTACAAGCCAAGAAACTATCAAATAATACCCTCCACATTCTCAAGAGGCCAAGGATTTTGGGAAGGAGTGGTGAGGTGAAATATGGTTTAACGTCGAGTTCAATATTATTGTATTGTTTTACCCAGTATCTAACCCTCGGAGCAAAACTGAATACTTCAATAAATTCCTATTCCAACGTGTCGTAAAATGATAAATTTCGCGATCTATTAATGTCAAAATTGTGAATCCTGTATTTCTTCCAACGAAATATATAGTGTCTATGACAGTGTAATATTTATAGCGGTACTCAGCTCAAGATCATAGTGGTGGATATGGGGGTCCAGTCGTCTCAGGCAATATTCGCTGTACAGAGTTGTGTCCCTTGGGCACGCCAGAAACCTATGGCTGTGGGTTCGAATCCCGGATCGCCCAGATTATATTTCTAGATTTGTCAGCACCATACCCGTGCTCGTGGGTTTCACCAAAGTGGTAAACATCTGATACCTGCATCACTTCGGGCTTTCCTCCCACATTAAGGTGACACGCCGTGATACAACTGGAATACCTTTCAACGCGGCGTTAAACACAACTCACTCACGATCTTAGTAATGACGTCCACGTGCCAATGAACAGCTTCACCGGCAGCGTGCGAGCGTATCATGTATTTCAGTGTGCTCCTGTTGATTCGTCTCCACTCAGGGCCGAATCGACCGCCTCCGTGACCTAGTGGATAGGACGCCTGCCGCGTTATAACCAAATATGGTACTTGTATATATAATATGGACTGGTCGGCTCGGAGTCAGTATAGTGTCTTAGCGGGGTATCCATGTTAAACTGCGTCATGCATGATATTTCAGCGGGGTAGCACTGATGAACGTCGCTATTTAAGTGCAATAATCTTGAACGCAACGTTAAACCCCATTTCACGTCACCAGGGTCGATTCCGTGAATAAATGTTATTCAACGCTGCAGTCAGTAATATTCCAGCCATTTGACGTCGGCAAGTAAATAAACGATTTTGACCAAACAAATCAATCACTGAACATATCATGGGGGCACGATGACACGCAGGCATGTCAACTCACTCACACACAACATTTTCAGACACCATGTATGTTAACTACTCTCTTAAGCCCTTGGGCATGGTACTTAAAACAATAGATAGCTTGCCCGTTTCGAAAGTGCTGTTAAAAACGTATTTCACATACTTGACATGTGTAGTTAAAGGTAAAAATAAAACGTCTTTTTAAAACCTGTTTTGTTATCAGAGGAATGGAACTGAACAGACGGAGTTGCCTTGTATGACATCTTGGGAAGTTGGACCCCAGATGAAAGTGACATGTGTTTATGCAGCTTTTAGCTGTTCCCGCTATCAGGACGTGGGTCATCAGAAATGGGCTTCACACTTTGTACCCAGGATGGGAATCAAACCCGATCTTCCCTGTGGCAAGCCGATACCATAACCACTAACCTACCCAACCACCTAGTCTGTCATACAGACCCTGAAAGTATTTATATCCAATACAGTCCATGCAAGTCTACAATATTTAGCAAGCCTAGATTACTGCAGTTTATGAAAATGAAGAAAGTCTCTTGGCTTCCTCTTATTATGTTTTTTTAAAATAATTTAACAACTGTTTTTTCTTCTGTGAAATATTTTCATTTCAGAGAATAGACGTCACCAACCACCACCAGTTCCAAGTTATTTGTTGTTTGATGCTGCCCTCAGCAATATTCTATCTGTATAACAGCGGTCTGTAAATAATCGAGTCTGGACCAGAAAATCCAGTGATTGACACCATGAGCATCCATCCATGAAATTGAGAAACAATGACTGCAATCAACCAAGTCAGTAAGTCTTACCACCAGGTCCATTCACTCACCTCTTACCACAAGCATAAGTAGCTGGGGAATTATACTCTTACTTATGGGCGCGAATTTAATCAAATAGAAAATAAAATCTAAAAAATGATGCTGGGAAGTTTTAAATGGATTGTTCACTAACATGGAACGTACAAAACCCTACAGCAAATTACAAATTGCAAATTATAAAATCTCTATTGATACAGTAATTACATGTAGGGTGTGCAGTAAAGAAGCTAGTTGTTATGATTGGATGATAAGGTCTACGATTATGATTTTTGTTCAAACGTTACTTCTGTGTGAAGTCTATGGAAACCCCTTGACTGCTGTCCACAACAGTCCATCAAGAGTTACAAGCCTTTGATAGATGATCATGAGAAGCACTCATAAAATCCACTGAACATGATTAAAGCCTACTTATTAATTTTGTCAAATCACTGAAAATTAAGTTTCAACTTTAAAGTGTAACTTACGAATACATTGTTAAAGGTGGATTGTTAGGAATATGTTATAGAACACCTGGGTCTACTGAAAGTATCATTTAACTGTTGAAACACCCCAAACATTAATTTCACTAGTGTTTTAGTACATGCAGATGCTGTGGTTCTACAAAGAAATGCAAAGTAAAATAAATAAATAAATAAAAAAATTAATATATATATATATATATATATATATATATATATATATATATATGATAAAGGCAACAACTAATGTGACACAATTAATATGCCATGATTAATTTGTGAGATCTTGACAGAAACAAGTTGTCTTTGAAACCTTTTTCTAAAAACCTCTTTCTCTTGAAGTTGACAATGTCCTCCGGAGATGAGCTGATTTGCACTTCGAAAACATCACAGATGATTCACATATCCTTATTAATTTATTACCACCTGATCGACATGTTTGAGATAATGGGTCAATACTTTCATGTATGTTGAACCTATTTCAGACAACATTAACATTTACTTCAAAAGTCTTTTTTTTAAAACTTATTCACAAATATACTTTCATATTTCTTATTTTCTTCATCAAGTTCTTGTTATCTTCTCTTTCCTGAAAAAGAAAGAAAGAGTAAATACCAAATGATTTATCGTATGCATACATGGAAAACAGGATTTAAATATATGTTAACTTGAACAACACTTGACCTCACTCAAAATACAAAATAAGTATGGAGTACAGTGACCTAGTCTATCCGGGAGTTCCCAAAGGATATACAACAAGCATGGGGTACTGTGACCTAGTCTGTCCTGGAGTCCCCAAGGGATATACAACAAGCATGGGGTACTGTGACCTAGTCCATCCTGGAGTTCCCAAGGGATATACAACAAGCACAGAGTACAGTGACCTAGTCTATCCTGGCGTCCCCAAGGGATATACAACAAGCATGGGGTACAGTGACCTAGTCTATCCGGGAGTTCCCAAGGGATATACAACAAGCATGGGGTACAGTGACCTAGTCTGTCCTGGAGTCCCCAAGGGATATACAACGAGCACAGAGTACAGTGACCTAGTCTATCCTGGAGTTCCCAAGGGATAAACAACAAGCATGGGGTACTGTGACCTAGTCTGTCCTGGAGTTCCCAAAGGATATACAACGAGCACAGAGTACAGTGACCTAGTCAATCTGGAGTTCCCAAGGGATAAACAACAAGCATGGGGTACTGTGACCTAGTCTGTCCTGGAGTCCCCAAGGGATATACAACAAGCACAGAGTACAGTGACCTAGTCTATCCTGGAGTTCCCAAAGGATATACAACGAGCACAGAGTACAGTGACCTAGTCTATCCTGGAGTTCCCAAGGGATAAACAACAAGCATGGGGTACTGTGACCTAGTCTGTCCTGGAGTTCCCAAAGGATATACAACGAGCACAGAGTACAGTGACCTAGTCAATCTGGAGTTCCCAAGGGATAAACAACAAGCATGGGGTACTGTGACCTAGTCTGTCCTGGAGTCCCCAAGGGATATACAACAAGCACAGAGTACAGTGACCTAGTCTATCCTGGAGTTCCCAAAGGATATACAACAAGCACAGAGTACAGTGACCTAGTCTATCCTGGAGTTCCCAAGGGATAAACAACAAGCATGGGGTACTGTGACCTAGTCTGTCCTGGAGTTCCCAAAGGATATACAACGAGCACAGAGTACAGTGACCTAGTCAATCTGGAGTTCCCAAGGGATAAACAACAAGCATGGGGTACTGTGACCTAGTCTGTCCTGGAGTCCCCAAGGGATATACAACAAGCATGGGGTACAGTGACCTAGTCTGTCCTGGAGTCCCCAAGGGATATACAACAAGCACAGAGTACAGTGACCTAGTCTATCCTGGAGTTCCCAAAGGATATACAACAAGCACAGAGTACAGTGACCTAGTCTATCCTGGAGTTCCCATGGGATAAACAACAAGCATGGGGTACTGTGACCTAGTCTGTCCTGGAGTCCCCAAGGGATATACAACAAGCATGGGGTACAGTGACCTAGTCTGTCCTGGAGTCCCCAAGGGATATACAACAAGCACAGAGTACAGTGACCTAGTCTATCCTGGAGTACAAGGGACAGGGGACCTATTCTACCCTGGAATTCCCTCAAGACAGGCAAGTACAAGGAACAGGGGACCTATTCTACCCTGGAATTCCCTCAAGACAGACAAGTACAAGGAACAGGGGACCTATTCTACCCTGGAATTCCCTCAAGACAGGCAAGTATAAGGGACAGGGGACCTATTCTACCCTGGAATTCCCTCAAGACAGACAAGTACAAGGAACAGGGGACCTATTCTACCCTGGAATTCCCTCAAGACAGGCAAGTACAAGGAACAGGGGACCTATTCTACCCTGGAATTCCCTCAAGACAGACAAGTACAAGGAACAGGGGACCTATTCTACCCTGGAATTCCCTCAAGACAGGCAAGTATAAGGGACAGGGGACCTATTCTACCCTGGATTTGCCTCAAGACAGTCAAGTACAAGGGACAGGGGACCTATTCTACCCTGGAATTCCCTCAAGACAGGCAAGTACAAGGAACAGGGGACCTATTCTACCCTGGAATTCCCTCAGGACAGACAAGTACAAGGACAGGGGACCTATTCTACCCTGGAATTCCCTCAGGACAGACAAGTACAAGGACAGGGGACCTATTCTACCCTGGAATTCCCTCAGGACAGACAAGTACAAGGACAGGGGACCTATTCTACCCTGGAATTCCCTCAAGACAGTCAAGTATAAGGGACAGGGGACCTATTCTACCCTGGAATTCACTCAGGACAGACAAGTACAAGGACAGGGGACCTATTCTACCCTGGAATTCCCTCAAGACAGGCAAGTACAAGGGACAGGGGACCTATTCTACCCTGGAATTCCCTCAAGACAGGCAATTACAAGGGACCTATTCTACCCTGGAATTCCCTCAAGACAGTCAAGTATAAGGGACAGGGGACCTATTCTACCCTGGAATTCCCTCAAGACAGGCAAGTACAAGTGACAGGGGACCTATTCAACCCTGGAATTCCCTCAAGACAGGCAAGTATAAGGGAAGGGGACCTATTCTACCCTGGAATTCCCTCAAGACAGTTAAGTACAAGTGACAGGGGACCTATTCTACCCTGGAATTCCCTCAAGACAGGCAAGTATAGGGGACAGGGGACCTATTCTATCCTGGTTTTCCCTCAAGACAGGCAAGTATAAGGTCCAGGGGACCTATTCTACCCTGGAATTCCCTCAAGACAGGCAAGTACAAGGGACAGGGGACCTATTCTACCCTGGAATTCCCTCAAGACAGGCAAGTACAAGGACAGAGGACCTATTCTACCCTGGAATTCCCTCAAGACAGGCAAGTATAAGGGAAGGGGACCTATTCTACCCTGGAATTCCCTCATGACAGGCAAGTATAAGGGACAGGGGACCTATTCTAACCTGGAATTCCCTCAGGACAGTCAAGTATAAGGGACCTATTCTACCCTGGAATTCCCTCAAGACAGGCAAGTACAAGGGACAGGGGACCTATTCTACCCTGGAATTCCCTCAGGACAGACAAGCATGAGGTCCAGGTAATGTATTCTGCCTTAGTATCCCTACCTGTTGCAGCTCCGCCTGTAGGATGACTCCATGCTTTGCCTCCCCACTGATGCGATTGCGCTGATACACCAGCAGCGTTCTGGAACACAAACACTTCAGGTTACACGGAAACTAACAACGGCTGCCTACAAACTATCTAGTAGGGAAGTGAGTGAGTGAGTGAGTGAGTTTAACAGTTTACAGTTATATCCCGGCATGTCAGCTTAATGTGGGAGGAAAGCCCAAAGTGATGCAGGTCGCAAATGTCTACCACTTCGGTGAGACCCACGAGCACAGTTATGGTGCTGACAAACCTAGAAAAAAAATCGGGGCGAACCAGGATTCGAACCCACAATCATAGGTTTATGGCGTGCCCAAGGGACGCAACTCTGCACAGCGAATCGCGGCACCTTAGACGACTGGGCCACCCATGCCCCCAGTTGGGAAGTGAATATTGGTTTGTAGATCTAGGTGGTAGACTTGTAGTGGTGTTGATCTACTGCAGGAAACCCTGAATGAGGCTATGGTTTACATGTTAATACTTACAGAAGTATGAAGAATAGGGGTAGCACCACCGCGTCCGAGATACCCCACATGAACACTTTTTCCAGCCACTCCACATCTAAACTTTTAACAAAGTCTTGGTATGCTGACGATGGCATGCTGCCAGTACTAAATGGCCCATAGCGTACTGTGGCATTGTGTGTTGTGCCCAGGTCTAGAATCGGACTGAAATATCAAAATAACCATGTTTAAAATGACAAGGTTAGCAACTGGTAATGTGTGTATCACTTTAATCACTGTAAAACTCTGAACATTCTTCTGAACCTATGAGAATGCTTACATGTTTCAACTTAAATCTGTAAGGTGGGGGTGTAAAGGTAATCATCCCACAATCACAGTTTCTGATAATGTTTTTTCCCATCATACAATTACTTTGTTGTTTTTTACCAATCACCTACAATTACTTTGTTGTTTTTCACCAATCACCTACAATTACTTTGTTGTTTTTCACCAATCACCTACAATTACTTTGTTGTTTTTTACCAATCACCTACAATTACTTTGTTGTTTTTCACCAATCACCTGAAATTACTTTGTTGTTTTTCACCAATCACCTACAGTTACTTTGTTGTTTTTCACCAATCACCTACAAGACAGCAGGCACACCAGTTACCCTACCTTCCAATGACAACAGGCACAGCAGTTACCCTACCTGCCAATGACCATGGCAACAGGCATATCAGTTACCCTACCTTCCAATGACAACAGACACAGCAGTTACCCTACCTTCCAATGACAACAGGCACATCAGTTACCCTACCTTCCAATGGCAACAGCCACAGCAGTTACCCTACCTTCCAATGACAACAGGCACATCAGTTACCCTACCTTCCAATGACAACAGCCACAGCAGTTACCCTACCTTCCAATGACAAAAATCACAATAGTTACCCTACCTTCCAATGGCAATAGGCACAGCAGTTACCCTACCTTCCAATGACAACAGACACATCAGTTGCCCTACCTTCCAATGACAACAGACACATCAGTTACCCTACCTTCAAATGACAACAGACACAGCAGTTACCCTACCTTCCAATGGCAACAGACACATCAGTTACCCTACCTTCCAATGACAACAGACACATCAGTTACCCTACCTTCTAATGACAACAGGCACATCAGTTACCCTACCTTCAAATGACAACAGGCACATCAGTTACCCTACCTTCCAATGACAACAGGCACATCAGTTACCCTACCTTCAAATGACAACAGGCACAGCAGTTACCCTACCTTCCAACGACAACAGGCACATCAGTTACCCTACCTTCCAATGACAACAGACACATCAGTTACCCTACCTTCCAATGACAACAGACACATCAGTTACCCTACCTGCCAATGACCATGGCAACAGGCATATCAGTTACCCTACCTTCCAATGACAACAGGCAAAGCAGTTACCCTACCTTCCAATGTTATAAGGTACAACAGTTACCCTACCTTCCAATGGCAACAGGCACATCAGTTACCCTACCTTCCAACGGCAACAGGCACAACAGTTACCCTACCTTCCAATGGCAACAGGCACGGCAGTTACCCTACCTTCCAACGACAACAGGCACATCAGTTACCCTACCTTCCAATGACAACAGACACATCAGTTACCCTACCTTCCAATGACAACAGACACAGCAGTTACCCTACCTTCCAAAGACAACAGACACATCAGTTACCCTACCTGCCAATGTTATTAGGCACAATAGTTACCCTACCTTCCAATGACAACAGACACAGCAGTTACCCTACCTTCCAATGACAATAAGGCACAGCAGTTACCCTACCTTCCATTGTTATTAGGCACAATAGTTACCCTACCTTCCAATGACAACAGGCACATCAGTTACCCTACCTTCCAATGACAACAGACACATCAGTTACTCTACCTTCCAATGACCATGGCAACAGGCATATCAGTTACCCTACCTTCCAATGACAACAGACACATCAGTTACCCTACCTTCTAATGACAACAGGCACATCAGTTACCCTACCTTCAAATGACAACAGGCACATCAGTTACCCTACCTTCCAATGACAACAGGCACATCAGTTACCCTACCTTCAAATGACAACAGGCACAGCAGTTACCCTACCTTCCAATGACAACAGGCACAGCAGTTACCCTACCTTCCAATGACAACAGACACATCAGTTACCCTACCTTCCAATGACAACAGGCACATCAGTTACCCTACCTTCCAACGACAACAGGCACATCAGTTACCCTACCTTCCAATGACAACAGACACATCAGTTACCCTACCTTCCAATGACAACAGACACAGCAGTTACCCTACCTTCCAAAGACAACAGACACATCAGTTACCCTACCTGCCAATGTTATTAGGCACAATAGTTACCCTACCTTCCAATGACAACAGACACAGCAGTTACCCTACCTTCCAATGACAATAAGGCACAGCAGTTACCCTACCTTCCATTGTTATTAGGCACAATAGTTACCCTACCTTCCAATGACAACAGTCACATCAGTTACCCTACCTTCCAATGACAACAGACACATCAGTTACTCTACCTTCCAATGACCATGGCAACAGGCATATCAGTTACCCTACCTTCCAATGACAACAGACACAGCAGTTACCCTACCTTCCAATGACAACAGGCACATCAGTTACCCTACCTGCCAATGACCATGGCAACAGGCATATCAGTTACCCTACCTTCCAATGACAACAGGCAAAGCAGTTACCCTACCTTCCAATGTTATAAGGTACAACAGTTACCCTACCTTCCAATGGCAACAGGCACATCAGTTACCCTACCTTCCAACGGCAACAGGCACAACAGTTACCCTACCTTCCAATGGCAACAGGCACGGCAGTTACCCTACCTTCCAACGACAACAGGCACATCAGTTACCCTACCTTCCAATGACAACAGACACATCAGTTACCCTACCTTCCAATGACAACAGACACAGCAGTTACCCTACCTTCCAAAGACAACAGACACATCAGTTACCCTACCTGCCAATGTTATTAGGCACAATAGTTACCCTACCTTCCAATGACAACAGACACAGCAGTTACCCTACCTTCCAATGACAATAAGGCACAGCAGTTACCCTACCTTCCATTGTTATTAGGCACAATAGTTACCCTACCTTCCAATGACAACAGGCACATCAGTTACCCTACCTTCCAATGACAACAGACACATCAGTTACTCTACCTTCCAATGACCATGGCAACAGGCATATCAGTTACCCTACCTTCCAATGACAACAGACACAGCAGTTACCCTACCTTCCAATGACAACAGGCACATCAGTTACCCTACCTGCCAATGACCATGGCAACAGGCATATCAGTTACCCTACCTTCCAATGACAACAGGCAAAGCAGTTACCCTACCTTCCAATGTTATTAGGTACAACAGTTACCCTACCTTCCAATGGCAACAGGCACATCAGTTACCCTACCTTCCAACAGCAACAGGCACAACAGTTACCCTACCTTCCAATGGCAACAGGCACGGCAGTTACCCTACCTTCCAATTACAACAGGCACATCAGTTACCCTACCTTCCAATGACAACAGGCACAGCAGTTACCCTACCTTCCAATGACAACAGACACAGCAATTAACCTACCTTCCAATGGCAACAGGCACAGCAGTTACCCTACCTTCCAATGACAACAGGCACATCAGTTACCCTACCTTCCAATGACAACAGACACAGCAGTTACCCTACCTTCCAATGACAACAGGCACATCAGTTACCCTACCTTCCAACGACAACAGGCACATCAGTTACCCTACCTTCCAATGACAACAGACACATCAGTTACCCTACCTTCCAATGACAACAGACACAGCAGTTACCCTACCTTCCAAAGACAACAGACACATCAGTTACCCTACCTGCCAATGTTATTAGGCACAATAGTTACCCTACCTTCCAATGACAACAGACACAGCAGTTACCCTACCTTCCAATGACAATAAGGCACAGCAGTTACCCTACCTTCCATTGTTATTAGGCACAATAGTTACCCTACCTGTCAATGACAACAGGCACATCAGTTACCCTACCTTCCAATGACAACAGACACATCAGTTACTCTACCTTCCAATGACCATGGCAACAGGCATATCAGTTACCCTACCTTCCAATGACAACAGACTCAGCAGTTACCCTACCTTCCAATGACAACAGGCAGATCAGTTACCCTACCTGCCAATGACAATGGCAACAGGCATATCAGTTACCCTACCTTCCAATGACAACAGGCAAAGCAGTTACCCTACCTTCCAATGTTATTAGGCACAACAGTTACCCTACCTTCCAATGGCAACAGGCACGGCAGTTACCCTACCTTCCAATGACAACAGGCACATCAGTTACCCTACCTGCCAATGTTATTAGGCACAGCAGTTACCCTACCTTCCAATGACAACAGATACAGCAATTACCCTACCTTCCAATGGCAACAGGCACAGCAGTTACCCTACCTTCCAATGACAACAGGCACATCAGTTACCCTACCTTCCAATGACAACAGACACAGCAGTTACCCTACCTTCCAATGGCAACAGGCACATCAGTTACCCTACCTTCCAATGGCAACAGGCACAGCAGTTACCCTACGTTCCAATGTTATTAGGCACAACAGTTACCCTACCTTCCAATGACAACAGACACAGCAGTTACCCTACCTTCCAATGACAACAGACACAGCAGTTACCCTACCTTCCAATGACAACAGACACAGCAGTTACCCTACCTTCCAATGACAACAGGCACATCAATTACCCTACCTTCCAATGACAACAGACACATCAGTTACCCTTCCAATGACAACAGGCACATCAGTTAACCTACCTTCCAATGACAACAGACACATCAGTTACCCTTCCAATGACAACAGACACATCAGTTACCCTATCTTCCAATGACAACAGACACATCATTTACCCTACCTTCCAATGACAACAGGCACATCAGTTACCCTACCTTCCAATGGCAACAGGCACATCAGTTACCCTACCTTCCAATGACAACAGACACAGCAGTTACCCTACCTTCCAATGACAACAGGCACATCAGTTACCCTACCTTCCAATGACAACAGGCATATCAGTTACCCTACCTTCCAATGGCAACAGGCACATCAGTTACCCTACCTTCCAATGTTATTAGGCACAACAGTAACCCTACCTTCCAATGACAACAGACACATCAGTTACCCTACCTTCCAATGACAACAGACACATCATTTACCCTACCTTCCAATGACAACAGGCACATCAGTTACCCTACCTACCAATGACAACAGGGACAGCAGTTACCCTACCTTCCAATGACAACAGGCTCATCGGTTACCCTACCTTCCAATGACAACAGACACATCAGTTACCCTACCTTCCAATGGCAACAGGCACATCAGTTACCCTACCTTCCAATGGCAACAGACACATCAGTTACCCTACCTTCCAATGACAACAGACAGAGCAGTTACCCTACCTTCCAATGGCAACAGACACATCAGTTACCCTACCTTCAAATGACAACAGACAGAGCAGTTACCCTACCTTCCAATGGCAACAGACACATCAGTTACCCTACCTTCCAATGGCAACAGGCACAGCAGTTACCCTACCTTCCAATGACAACAGGCACATCAGTTACCCTACCTTCCAAAGACAACAGGCACATCAGTTACCCTACCTTCCAATGACAAGAGACACATCAGTTACCCTACCTTCCAATGACAATGGCAACAGGGACAAGGATGCAGATGAGAGAGAGGAGGAGAAAGGTCATGAAGAAGACTGTGTTGCGAGACTGAGCCCAGCGCTTGATCGGAGGCATGCCGGTGTGCTTGATGATGCCGTACATGAGGAAGAAGAACACCAGGTCTGATAGCGTCCCTATCAGAGGCAGGACGGGACAAGCCAGAGTCCCAATCTGGAGCGAGCAGAAAGCAATCATCACACATAGCACTCCAGCAGAAACATTTCAGTCATTTGGTTCAAATTCATTATTAAGCAAATTTGAACCCCTCATTTTAAAATCACTTTTATCAACCAAAGCTGGCTTTTATACCAGATATTGCTTGGGCAAGATCACTGTACAGTACTGCAGATCATTGTGATGTCACAATCAAATGACATTACTAATCTCTCTGCCCCTGAAGCTGGTCATACCATTTACAAACTGAAAAAGTTGGAAGTAGTTATGGATAATAAATAGAATCTCACTTGTGTCTTTTGACATCAAATATATCAACTCTCATCGATAAAAGTATAAATCTCCTTGGCAAAACTTGGAGTATTAAACTTTTACGACTCATGTTGATATATTTGATATCAAAAGACATGCGGGTGAGATTTTCTATATACATCTCAGTGAAAATACCACTATAAATGATATGATATATTGGAGCCAATAGTTCAAAATGATTGGCTCCATTCTTCAACATGTTTGCATAGATTTGCCGAGACTCTGCTTAGATTTACAGACAAAACATAGAGAAAAAAATAGAAAAATGCAAGTGAAACACTCTGTTCTGTCTTATAAGTTCAACACAAGTGTATAGTCGACAAAGTCATCTATATCTCCCGCCCATTTTAACACATTATGGTCCTAAACCAGGTAACTGACCCAACATTTCTCTCAGCCCATGTCAAAATAGCTGCAATGGAAATTCTAAAATAAACATTTCTAAAACTACTTAATATCAAATGGCACCAGTTCAGTATGTGCTTTATATATAGACATGCAATGTTTGACAAGGAAATGTTTAACAGTTTATTTGTTATACTCCATAAGTGAACCCACACTATATTAAAACTTAAATCCAACTTTAACTATTCAAATTTCTAAAAGTGCTAAATTTCAAAAGGCACCAGTTCAGTATGTGCCTGGTAGACATGCAAAGTTTTGTAAGAGAGTATTTAACGTTTTTTTAGTTACGCTCCATAACGAACACCACCCTTATAGAACCTAAGTCCAACTTGATGCCATGGAAACGTAAAAAATATAAATTTCTAAAATTCCTAAATAGCAAATGGCACCAGTTCAGCATGAGTCTGATAGACATGCACAGTTTCATAGAGAAATATTAAACGGTTTCTGAGTTATGCTCCGGAAACTATTTCGGGACACACGCACACACGGATGGACGGAACCCATTTCAGTATCCCCCGCCAACTTTGTTGGGGCGCGTGATAATAAAAATAAAGGTTGTCACTTGCACCCAATGATCAGGATATATTTCTAACTGAAGACTTACCCAGATAAGAGCCTGTCTGTAGATGAGCACAAGAACAGACGAGGAGATGTTAAACTCTATTTTATTCATGGTCCAGTAGTATCTCATGAAATTCATCAGCACATTAGCAACTGTCTGTGAACAAAATTTACAAGCAATGATCAAGTAATCACATGAATTTAAAAAATAGTTGGTTCGTAACCCAAAATATTGATTTTCACATATTTTTTCCTCTTTCAACAAAATCCACTACAAATCAGTTAAAATAGTACCACACCACTCACTGTAACGAGGTGCATGGGTAGTCTTGTGGTTACAGCATTTGCCCTTCGCACCGAAGGCATGGGTTCAATCCCTACACACATTGTAACCTAAAAAGCTACTCAGAGGAAGGATGGGTGGGTATGGTTGGTGACTTTGCGTGAATTCGTGATTTGATGCCTCACTCTGGGAATGTGGGTTTGAATCCCAGATGGGACTGAAAATGTTATCCCAAATATAACATATGTTACAGTTCTGTGAGGATATTTTCATTCCCAATATCATCAACAATCAACAAATTCATAATCATTATCCTGTAGACAAAATGTTTAGTGTATTTTCAATTCAAAAGAAAGTATACACCCATGTTTGACAGTGGCGAAACTTGAAACAAACAAAAACGGTTATTCGATGGTGAGGTATTGGATACGGGTATCATGGTAATGCTTTGGAAATTAAGTTTGCAGTGTGTTGGCGACTATTTTCAGCCTAGTAACATTTTGATAATGTTTTTAATATTTTTGGTCAAATATAATTTTCAAGTGTAGACTTTCTCTTGCCCGACAGTTTATGTTTATTTTCAGTGTGAGTCTTTTGGCGCCCATAAACAAAATTGCATCCAAACTTACATGAATGATGGTGTCCATAATGACGAGTTTGTACAACTCCTGACCAATCACAGTCCCCATACAGTTGCTGCTGCTGGCCTTACCGGGCTGGAAGGTACAAGTGTATCCAACTTAAACCACCTTTCTTTTTACATATATTGGTCAATATGTTGTGTGTTTGTTGTTTCAACTACATGACGGTGGCCCAGACAATCCAGTGACTGACATGCACATCAATCTACGCAATGGGAAGACAATGACACAAAAGCAACCAAATGAATAATGTAAATGAATAAATTATAACTACAATGTTGTTTGATTTATTTGAATGGCCAATATTAAGACATTAACTGAAGTGTGTCTTGGCTGCAATGACCTGCATCAATCAAGTCAGCGAGCCTCATCATTCGATCCCTTCCGGCGCCTCTTTCCACAAGCATGTGCTGCTAAGGACCAATTTTAACCCAGATCTTCACAAGGGCAGTGATAGATACTACCGGTACTACTTTCAGTTAACTAGTCCACATACTGTTAACAAAAATTTAAAAAATGGCAATGTTTTACTAGTCCTTATGATACCTTAACTATTGGGCATTTTGGCAAGGACAGGGCTAGTGCCAGTTTCTATCGTGCAGGGGGTCAGATTGTAGGAGGCTAATTGTTTCTTTTCAAACATCACCCATGACTGCTGCTCTGCATGGACATTGCAAATGTTGAAAGTAATGTGTAGTTACCTTTCACCCTATGTTGTAACATGATCTGTTTGAAGTGGAGAACAGCACGTATTGCATTAATGTAATTTTCAAAGTAATTTGAAGAATTATGTCCATCGCCACATTTGGACCAGCAGTTTTGGAGATGCAAGATAATTTTCTCGCACACTGTCCACAATGGCCAAAGTAGGTGTAGATGATGTTGCCGAAACAGAGCTAAAGACCTGCTATGATCACTATCTTCTATACACTGATGTAGTTCATGTTGTCAGCATTCACATTATCAGTTTTCAAAATATTTGACTTTCTTATCTAAAAACACCCATGTAAATTCTTAATTTAGATGTGATGAATACTGTATTTGCCATAACTCAAATGTTTTACTCACGTCCTTCTTGCTGTGTGCATTGACGATGTTATACAAGGAGACAATGAGAGCAAAGAGATTGGCCATTCTCAAGGTGAAGATTCTGATGAGAGTAACATTCAGTTCCATCTTTCCACTTGCATAATGCTCCATCTTTGGCAGCTGAAAACAAAATATGAATCAAAACACACAATCCAGGCAAAATGACGCATGAGTAAACTGGTTTCAACGCCGTTTCAAACAGTATTCCAGTTATATGAGTACGACAGTGTGAAGTGAAGCAGGTCTCAGACGTTCACCACTTTCATGAAACCCATGAGCACATGGTCCTGACAAACCTTGAAACAAAATCAGGCCAAACTGGCATTCGGACCCATGCCATAGGTTTTGCGGATGCCCAAGGGATGCAAATCTGCACAGCAAATTGCGGTGCCACCAGTGCCCTTTGAACTGTCATTTTTTCATGACCCCTTCCTTAAAGGGCAAGTTCACACGGAAATGAACCTATTTTTCTTGTACTTTTTCCACATTAAAAGTGTTAACCTAGAAGTGTCATAGACAAAAATATAAAAATATCACAATTAATTAACATATTTTTCGCATTAAAACGGTTTATATTTTTCACATTTACCAAGTGTTCTATTTCCACAACAAAAACACCATGGCTTATGCCCCTTGCAATATGACGTCATTGGTGCCAATTGATAAACATTATGACGTCATCATGCTTTGTTAGAGCCGCTTCACGTGGTGTAGGTACAGGTGTGTGATTCTAGCGTCTCAGATGCCAGCCAGCATAGTGTTATGCTGAGTCACCACTGCGCCGGAGTGTGTCGTAGGCCATGTTGTTTTACCGCAAACTGGTACTTGATATCTTTTGCGTTGAGAATAGACAGGGACCCAGTTGAATTGGCACCAATTACGTCACAATCTAAGGGGGATAACTCAGGCCTGTTTAGCTCGAAAAACGAAGGCCTCATAACGGCATATCATTTTCACACTATTGTGAGCTTCCTACTTTCACTGTGAAAAAATGAGTGTATATTTTCAAACACAGATACTAATTAATTCTAAAATTGCGTTTTGTTTAGAAAAAGAAAGAAAGTGATTTTTGCGTGTACACTTCCCCTTTAACCTCACCAGCCCACCCCACTATAACAAGGGATACTTCTCTGTATTGCTCACCTGGATATTTACGCAATCATGACAAAATATACATACTGGCAGTAGGACATTATATCATACTGCAAATATTTCGTAATTTAAAAGGGGTGGATGGCAAATCTGACAGCATGAACGTGCACTTCTCTAGACACAAATTAAATTGTATTTCCTGTTTTGATTGGCATTGTTTTATATGCAGAGGCTAAAATTACCGTGCGTCTTGTCTCGTAAACTAACCCGGAAGTAGCAATCAGCTGTACACACGTTTCTCGGAATCTACCGGTGCATCAATCAAAAATTACCCAATAATATAACTTTAAAGAATTTTGATACAATGAGCAGATGACTTGTATCTGAAACTATTATTTTATCAGGAATAATTTATTCCAATATCATGTTAGTTGCAGCTTTACCATATATATGTGAAATAAATTAATAACCATAAGAGTAGCACTTTGGTTCAGCTGATCACCATTGCCAGAATGTTTTCAAATGGAAGAATTTGACCAATCAATGTCCATGCTCCAGTGCCAGCGATTGCAAAAACTTTATGTTGACATACAATAGTCAAACTACAACAAATATGTCTTTCAGCAATTCAATGTATGGCATTTATGATATATATATCCATTCTCTATACACCAAAGTTCGTTTCAAGGTGTCAATAGTGGTAATATCACCGTGGTTGCTGTAAATAACGGTCAGTTGTGCGATCTTCCGATCACTTCACATACGATTTTGCCGAAATGAATTGAAACAATATTGAATGAAATGTTGAATAAAATTAATAAAATAGATTACCAACATAAGTCCAGACATATTATGAACTCTTTCTACAACCAGACAGTGTAATTACATGATTAATTTGAGTATTTCTGTATATTTGTTGACATGGTATTTCTGGTGTTACGTGTCCACAGTAATGTCTTTGTGTTGCGGAAAAAAACATAAAATACTCAACCCTATATATAAGACGATCCCACTCACCTTATACACAGCAATATACGGATTTGGATTCTTACTAGTGTGTTCACAAGCTATTGCCTGAGAACCATTTTTTTTCTTCAGCCTTATACTCAGCAATTGTACATATAGTTATATGGTGGGGATCTTAACTGTGTCCAAGTTATAATCTCTTTTTGGCCCCACCCCTCAGACCCTGGGGCGGTTAGCCCCTCCATTTGTACAATTGTGAATTCCCATCACCTGAGAATACTTCCAACAAAATTGGTTGCGGGTTCAGCCCTTTCATTTCTCCAATTTGAATCCCCACCATTGGCGAATACTTACAACCAAATATGGATTTGGTATCTCTTAGTTCCAGAAAAGAATTTGTTTACATCAATAATGCCAAATTACCCCTATTTGGCTCCCCCATTTGTTAAATTTTGAATCCTCACCACCGGAGAATGCTTACAACCAAATATGGTTGACATCTATCTCTTAGTTCCAGAGAAGAAGTCGTCTAAAGCAATCCGCCAAATTACCCCAATTTGGCCCCGCCCCGTAGCCCCTTATGGGGTCAGTCCCACCATTTGTACAATTTTGAGTCCTCACCACCAGAGAATGCTTCCAACCAAATATGGTTGATATATATCACTTAGTTCCAGAGAAGAAGTCATTTAAAGCAATATAGCCAAATTACCCCTATTTGGGCCCCCCGTCAGCCTCTTAGGGGGTCAGTCCCACCATTTGTACAATTTGGAATCCCCATCACCTAGGGATGCTTCCAGTCAAATTTCGTTAATTTCCAATAAGTGGTTCAGAAGAAGAAGTCGTTTGGAAAAATTGTCCGTACGGATGATGGACAGACGACGGACGCCACGGTATGGCATAAGCTCACCTTGGTCCTTCAGACCCGGTGAGCTAATAAAAGGCCAGTGCCTTACCTGATAGATACAGAGCGGTACAATCATGCTGATGAGGCTGAAGGATATGGGTGTGATGTAGGTCTTGAAGCCGGGCATGTACTGGAAAATACAGAGTTATTAGCGGTGTAACAATATTCAGATGCCCTGGTTAACTGCCATACTTTCATTCAATTGGATATGCATCTTACATGTTTTTAACATTTCCTTTGCAGTGTTGCAATAAATTGCATTAAAACAAGGTTAAAAAAGGAGTACAATGATGTCACAAGGAATCAATCAATCTATCAAAACAAAAATGGAATATTCAGTATAAAAAACATAGTGACACCCCACCCCCTTTTTCTGACACCTGACACGTCAACGTGTGTTTTTGTTAACTTTGTGACTTTGGTATTGTGTGCATCCCCCATCTTGAAATTCCTTGATCTGCCTCCGCAGCCGAACATGTTTATATATCGTTGAGTACCCTTTTTTCGAACAGCCATATATGATATTGATTTGTTGCATTATAACGAGAGGTGTGACGCCATCAAAGCTGCCGACCTGAGGCTGCACGTGTTCGGATTGTCAATATTGGGTTCATGTGAAGTTCATGTGAAGTATTGCATACCTGTTACAACAGTCTGACGTCATTCAGAATTTTGGTACCCGTGTCATGATGAAGAGGAAGAGTACAATAGTGTGAACACTCTAATTTGACAGATATTCATATTTTGAGAATAGGTTTCAAACTTTCAATTACCTTTTGAGTTTTAAAGCCGACCTGTAAAAATTATGTTGAGAACTGAGAGCAGTATGAAACCAATCAGGTGGTCCCAAACAGGTGACATCACTCGAGTGCAGCGGAAGTTTACAGACAACGCAATGGAGTTACCGGTAACCCCTTTTAACGAGGACTGTTTTTTCTTTGGGAAAGAAGCTGAATTCTATTGTTGAAGACATCAACGGCTGGTATGAAGCAGAATTTGAGTTTTGATTCACTCATCCCTTGAAATATCAACAATACTATCTCAACTGTTTGAAAATAGGTTACGTCAAGAGATATTAAGTCAAATATTTACAGTAACTACATGTCAGAATACATTACAAAATCACCCTTTCATGCATTGCTCCTCCCTAGGTTTTTACATTAACATCCAACTTGTCCTGCTCAAGATATATTTCGAGATTTATATATAATCAAAACACGTCTTTTAACAATACTAGATTCAGGTCAAAATATTTCAAATTAAGCCCCAAAATCAGGGCGTTCGTTTATAACTCCCATGTTTGAACCTATAAAATAACATAAGGTGTCCCCTAATTAAAATACTATAGTGTCAACCAAAAGGGCCCTCTGATTCCCATTAGATTTTGTCATTAACTGTCTGCTTCATCTAATCACAATATGCATATAAGAATACTGTTACTATGTTATAGGACAGTGTATCTTACCTGCTCCAAGCTGACGTCATTGATGGTTAAGGACACATCTGTGGTGAAGTTGACAAAGATAACCAGATAGACGATCCCTGTACAACCAGCTCCCACTAGCACCCTGTAATATAGTCAATATAACAACCAGATAGACGATCCCTGTACAACCAGCTCCCACTAGCACCCTGTAATATAGTCAATATAACAGCCAGACAGACGATCCCTGTACAACCAGCTCCCACTAGCACCCTGTAATATAGTCAATATAACAACCAGATAGACGATCCCTGTACAACCAGCTCCCACTAGCACCCTGTAATATAGTCAATATAACAAGCAGATAGACGATCCCTGTACAACCAGCTCCCACTAGCACCCTGTAATATAGTCAATATAACAAGCAGATAGACGATCCCTGTACAACCAGCTCCCACTAGCACCCTGTAATATAGTCAATATAACAAGCAGATAGACGATCCCTGTACAACCAGCTCCCACTAGCACCCTGTAATATAGTCAATATAACAACCAGATAGACGATCCCTGTACAACCAGCTCCCACTAGCACCCTGTAATATAGTCAATGTAACAACCAGATAGACGATCCCTGTACAACCAGCTCCCACTAGCACCCTGTAATATAGTCAATGTAACAACCAGATAGACGATCCCTGTACAACCAGCTCCCACTAGCACCCTGTAATATAGTCAATATAACAACCAGATAGACGATCCCTGTACAACCAGCTCCCACTAGCACCCTGTAATATAGTCAATATAACAAGCAGATAGACGATCCCTGTACAACCAGCTCCCACTAGCACCCTGTAATATAGTCAATATAACAGCCAGACAGACGATCCCTGTACAACCAGCTCCCACTAGCACCCTGTAATATAGTCAATATAACAAGCAGATAGACGATCCCTGTACAACCAGCTCCCACTAGCACCCTGTAATATAGTCAATATAACAACCAGATAGACGATCCCTGTACAACCAGCTCCCACTAGCACCCTGTAATATAGTCAATATAACAAGCAGATAGACGATCCCTGTACAACCAGCTCCCACTAGCACCCTGTAATATAGTCAATATAACAAGCAGATAGACGATCCCTGTACAACCAGCTCCCACTAGCACCCTGTAATATAGTCAATATAACAAGCAGATAGACGATCCCTGTACAACCAGCTCCCACTAGCACCCTGTAATATAGTCAATATAACAACCAGAGAGACGATCCCTGTACAACCAGCTCCCACTAGCACCCTGTAATATAGTCAATATAACAACCAGATAGACGATCCCTGTACAACCAGCTCCCACTAGCACCCTGTAATATAGTCAATATAACAACCAGATAGACGATCCCTGTACAACCAGCTCCCACTAGCACCCTGTAATATAGTCTATATAACAAGCAGATAGACGATCCCTGTACAACCAGCTCCCACTAGCACCCTGTAATATAGTCTATATAACAACCAGATAGACGATCCCTGTACAACCAGCTCCCACTAGCACCCTGTAATATAGTCAATATAACAAGCAGATAGACGATCCCTGTACAACCAGCTCCCACTAGCACCCTGTAATATAGTCAATATAACAACCAGATAGACGATCCCTGTACAACCAGCTCCCACTAGCACCCTGTAATATAGTCAATATAACAACCAGATAGACGATCCCTGTACAACCAGCTCCCACTGGCACCCTGTAATATAGTCAATATAACAACCAGATAGACGATCCCTGTACAACCAGCTCCCACTAGCACCCTGTAATATAGTCTATATAACAGCCAGGTACACAATCCTGTGCGAATGTGCGAGTAGTCACTATGATTTTTCTTGTGTTTGTTTGTTTGTTGTTTAGCGCTGCACTCAGCAATATTCCAGCTACAGTGTTTCCTCGTTATTGCGCCCTTCAAGAGAATATATCAGCGGAGTGTTTATTAATAAAAATGTAATTCAATCATGGCAAATCAGCAGTATTTCTGCTGTAAGTGTTTCGAGCGTAACATAACAAACCCATCCTCATTTATCCAGTGTATTATATCTGCATTCTATTGTGATAAATATTATGATTCATCGCCACAGCTCGTTACAGTTGTGTCATCACCATCTTCATCTCATTTATCTCTAACGGAGCACAAAGTTTTGATCTCTCATTTGATTGGACCCTTAATTTTAGTGGAGCAGATTAGTGTCAATGTATGGGCGAATTGTGCATTTTATGATAAAGTATGAAACTTTGCACACAGCGAGACTAAGCACTAAAATAGGTTTAAGCTAAAGGGACATCACAAATTTTGCAAATTGCGACTTTGGTGGCCATATTGAAAAATGGCCACCATTGTTTACAAATGTTCATATCGCATGTCAATTGATGTACCGTATTTGACGTAATAAGCGCCCAGGGCGCTCTCAAAATTAGAATATTATTTGGTGAAAAAAAGTTGAGTTGAATGATTAATTTCGTGGTTTATGCTGACAGCCTGAAATGTTTATGTACGACAGATATATTTTTCCCAAATTTAATTGCCCATAATTAAGTGTGCATATAACAAGTGCGTATTATACATGAATAAATAAGTCTTGTGTACATTATTCAATCGGAAGGGTGCTAATTGGGATTGTTCACTAGCCAATATATGAGCAAATATCGCCGTGGGCGTTTATTAGAGCGGGGCGCTTATTACGTCGAATACGGTATTACGAAGTCATGTGAATGGATCCCACAATTAGATTCAAACATTCAAGTTTGTTGTGTCCATTGATACACTTTTAAAATACAGTCTTAATTTGTCAAAATACACTTATTACTTGCATTATTATTTATACAATTCATATTAGATTCCATTTTTTTAATATTGAAGATGTGCAGCATCCAGCGTTCCATTAGAATTAGGTTGAAATAGAATCTCTGGTAATGAATGGGTGCAGGGTGTTTATTAGGGGTCTCAGTGATTGGAAAGTTTATTGATATATCGACTAATAATGAAATACTGTATTCTGTCTGTGTACTGATAAATATTTCCTAGCTTGACCTGCAATTAATCAACTTAATGTTAATATGAACTTAAATGTTTATTAGGGCTTGAAAAATATATTAATAATCAGAATTTATTGGTGATGGAAAAACACATTAACGATTATTGATATAAAAGTTGTGTCACTGATAATATCTTACATAAACTATTGTGATGAAATAAACTTAGATTTACCAAAACAGACTTGTTATTGTCAATAATGGCAATGGCTAAAGATGGAAAGTAACTTTTTCTTGTTACCGTATTCGACGTAATAAGCGCCCCGCTCTAATAAACGCCCACGGCGATATTTGCTAATGTATTGGCTATTGAACAATCCCAACTGGCACCCCTTCCGATTGATCAATGTGCACAAGACTTATTTTTTCGCGTATAATACGCACTCGTGTGTTATATGCACCCTTAATTATTGGCAATTAAATTCTGGAAAAATATATCTGTCGTACATAAACATTTCAGGCCGTCAGCATAAACCACGATATTTATCTTTCAACTCTGTTTTTTTTCACCAAAATAACATTCTAATAAGAGCCCCCTATTTCTAATTTTGAGAGCGCCCTGGGCGCTTATTACGTCGAATACGGTATATCTTGAATGTCCACAAATTAATCCCTGCAAAAATGTGCTTCCACCACCAGTGGAGCGGAATAGGTTGATTTCTTTAGGACCTTATTTGCATATTTACTCAAAGTTGCATTTCAGATGTTTATCGATATTTAGTTAACAATGATCGATCTCTATGATGTGTATCGATAGCCTGGTTAGCCAGATTATTGATGTTTATCATTGAATTTTCTGCCTTCTTACTGCCCATCTTACTTACAGTAACCTTAACAAATGTACATGTTTTTGTGGAAGTGAGGGGGGCCCAGTCGTCTAAGGCGCCACGATTCGCTGTGCAGAGTTGCATCCCCTGGGCACGCCAGAACCTATGATTGTGGGTTCGAATCCCGGTTCGCCCCGATTATGTTTCTAGGTTTGTCATCACCATACCCGTGTTTGTGGGTTTCACCGAAGAGGTAAACGTCTGAGACCTGCATCACTTCAGGCTTTCCTCCCGCATTAAGCTGACACGCCGCAATATAACTGTAATACTGTTAAAAGCGGCGTTAAACCCAACTCACTCACTCACTCTGTGGAAGTGAATTATTAATATAGATTAGTATGATCAATATTAACAAATTGGTATCGAAACAGAATTGACATTACAAATGTATCTGTACAACAATATCACAATATACGATGATGTCAGAGTATTTATGACAATAGAATGACAACATAATGCACTGGATATTCAACAATGAAATAAACACAGATGGAAGTTTGAACGCACTGAACACAAGGGGCAATGGGGTAGCCTAGTGGTTCAAGCGTTCGCTAATCACACTGAAGGTTCGGGTTCGACTCCCAACATGGGTGCAATGTGTGAAGCCTATTTCTGGTGTCCACTGCCATGATATTGCTGGAATATTGCTAAAAGCAGCGTAAAATCCAACTGACTCACTCACTGAAACACAAACAACGATAACAGGAACTGACTGAACATAAAGCCTTCTTATATTTACATAGTAATGAACCAGGCTGTAATTCGACGACCGTAAACTTTGACTTTCTCACTCCTAGTCCATTGTTCAGTCAAATCGGCAGCCTTTGCACCATACAAGTTGTCCTACAAGGAAAGGTGAGGTAGCATTATGTTGTTTAATGCCAGAGTCAGCAATATTTCAGCTGTATCATGGCAACCTGTGAAACATTGTATATGGGCCAGACAAACCTGTGACTCAATTCCAGATGAATTCTGCAATTCCGCTATCGCGGTCAGATTTTCAGAAAATGTGACTAACTGCAGAATTCCAGAAAAAACAGACTTTATAATCAACCGATACCCTAATTTTCATTATTTTCAAGCTTTTCTATTGAAATTTGCACTTGAATGATACCCAAACAATTAACATGCGATTCAAACATACAAAATATGAAACCAACAATAAAGGAATTTTTTTGTTTTTTCTCACTTTTAAAAGTTTTTGTGGTATTTTGATTACATCAAGTTCACACATTAAAGCAAACCTTTAAAATTTTCACAGAAACAATTTAGTTTGCATTTATTTTTGAGTTGGAAACGGTCATGTCTTTACAGCAAAATCTACTGTGGAATTTGGTAATTTTAGTTGCAGAATTTTGGTAACTTTACAGTAGAATTTTGTTATTTCAGTTGCAGATTTGGTTTGGTAATTTTACAGTAGACATTTGATATTTTTACCCCAAAATTCTACTGGAACTGGTGAGCGAGAACATGACCAGTGATCTGCAATCAGTAATCCACAAGTCCAGTATTGTTGCCTCTTTCAACCAGCAATAGGGGTTGGGGGCCTAATCTCCACAAAGTCAAAACATCAGCTGTAAACTACATTAACACAAATTGCGAAAATCTCTATTACAATTTTGGAATTTTACTGACATTTGCTCCAGTCTTTGGGCAAAATATTGGTATTTGGCCCCTGAGTAGGTCAAGATTAATCCCAGCTGCAGGTAGAATATTTAACATTTTCTCAAAGCAATCTCCCCCCTGTAACAGGTATTCTTTAGGGGAGTGGAAACTTCCCACTGTATGTTTTCTAATGCCGGACTCAGCAATATTCCAGCTACATGACGGTGGTCTGCAAAGAATCGAGTATCGACCAGACAAACCTGTCATTCATATTAGGAGCAACGATCCAGTAAGTCGCCTCTTAAGACTAGGGAGGGTAACAAAGGTGTCACCCAATGGGATATAACTTGGGCAAAAGATGACAAAGCGAGACAACTCTTACAATCACGTGCTGGAATTTTGAATTTTTTTAAACAGTAGGTCGATTCATTTAAAAATAATTCACCCCTAAAAATGGTTGGTCCCTATCTGAAAGAGATTTGTGAGGAAAATACCTTCAGGCTGCTGGCAATGCCCTTGGACAGGTTGACTGCGGCCTCAGGGGAGCTGATGCTGTGGTCCCATGACGTGAAGGTGAGAAGTGCAAAGCAAAACCTGGTCCTTGCAGACTCGGACTGGGCTGGCTGCATTCCACTGGCCATGCTGAAGTCAACACTTGAATACAATACTCATGTAGACCTGTGTCTAGTTAAAACTAAAGTGTCCTGGGGTCAACGGATCCGTGAAGATCCGGGGTAGAATAGGTCTTCCCTTACCCATGCTTGTTGTAAAAGGTGACTATGCTTGTCGAAAAAGGCGACTAACGGGATCGGGTGGTCAGACTCGCTGACTTGGTTGATGCATGTCATCGGTCCCAATTGCATGGATCGATGCTCATGATATTAATCACTAGATTGTCTGGTCCAGACTCGATTATTTACAGACCGCCGTCATATAGCTGGAATATTGCTGAGTGCGGCGTAAAACAACAAACCAACCAACCTGGGGTCAACGAGGTTTGCTGCTACCAGCATTAATATAGGGTCCCTAGATCCGGTTTGCAACATTAACGCCATCCCAATTACCACTGAATTTCCTGCTTTAGTTCCTACCCCATCCCAATTCTGATTCCATATACCAGAATATATATGGAATTTTTACAGTCATTTTCTGCAGACTTGGGGTCGAATATCACCTTTAATCAGGTCTAGAAAAATCCCTGTGGCGATAACATTATTGTCAAATTCACCTTCTGAGTATAAACAAAAGACTGCCGAAGTACGTGACAATGATCATGGTGAGGTAGGCGAGGCCGGTGTGGTAGGATTTGACGTGTGTTGATGTCTGCAAGTGTCCGACTCCCAGCTGGGGGGTGTAGGCACAGAAGAACACCCATGACTCTCCCACTGGACCCTGCAACACAAGTAGTCAGGGTCACACAGCACCACAAAGGGGCCGATCATTTGGTATTTTAGGAGGGGGTAGGGTTAAAAAAATAATTGCCTCACGTTTTAAGAAAAGTATTGGATTGTAACAATAAAGTGATCAGCTTTACTGAGAGAAGAAAAAATGTTTGTCTTGAAGCAGTGACCAAAAGATTATCTGTCTCTAACAATCTCCATAGGACCATTCAGTGTTAACTGGCATTTTGGGACAATCATCCTGTTTAACCCTGTATGTCCATTCTCTGAAATATGTAGTTTTACAAAAACAACAACAACAAATAAATACTGACCCTTGTATCCTACGAGGCTGAAGGCCTCAAAGCCGTTGGCCTCGCAGGATACATAGGTTGATATTTTTTAATGTATTTTTGTTAAGCTATGTATTCCTGCATCATCCAAAGTAGGGCTGGGACGAGTCCAAATTTACTACCCGGGTACCCGACCCCTTATTACCCGACCCGACCCGGGTACCCACTGCAAGTCTCAAGAGTTGGGAACAAAATGTCTGATTGGTAATTGTTTTACCGCAGCCCTGGCTAAAACTGTTTGGAAACATGTATAAAAAAATCAGATCATGCGTTAACTGAAGTTGATGGAAGCTTTATCTTTATTCAAACATATACAAGTCAAAAGGAATGTGTGCATCGTCAGAAGGAATTGCGAACATTAGCAACTTGTATTGTAACCACTGAGCTATAATGTTTTTCTGTCATTAAACAATATATCATGTGACTAACCAAGGGTCCGGGTAGTCTTGTGGGTACCCGGGTCCTACTCAGGACCCACCCGACCCAAGTACCCGAGTTACCCGTCCCAGCCCTAATCCCAAGGCAAGGGCGTTAACTGACTGCAAAAGTCAAGTTTCTACCCTTGCCGAACTAGACTGGAAATTAACAACTTGACAAACGTAACAAAAACAACCGCCCCCTCCCTCCTCTCCACAATGGGTAGTCTTTAAGGGTGTACATATGGTCATAATTTGTCATGTGTTTAGCTGTTCAATAGTACATTGATCACCCGTTAAATGTATTAAGTTGTGGATAGATACTGAAATATATCAAAATTCGCCTGTGATGATATTGAAACATATAAAAACAGTTTTGAGGAGGATGCTGTCTGTGATCCTACCTGTCCGTCGAGGAGGTTGGAGTAGGAGAAAGAATTTTTTATGGACGAGTAGTCGAAGGCCACAGCTGTTGGCAGGACAACGAATCCCAGCCACACTACAGCCAGAGCAATGTTCAGCAATATCACCCATCGAGTGAATACGAAGAAAGTGCCAATTCCAGATCCAAAGTTACCTGGGAGAAATAGTTTTAAATGAAATCTGAGTGAAATATTTCATTTCAGAAACAAACAGCTCCAAATGAGTAAACTAAACAAATAAATTCACCGTTACTATTATGATCTTGAGTTGCTTGTGTGCAAATACTCATGAAAAATGTCAAGTACCCAACAGTATATTTAACACTTTACGTAACCAGGGGTGTTCAGTTAGTATGGCCGACTTGTGGGGCAGAACATGAACAGACAGTACACATACAAAGTCACCAGAAACAGCATTTTATCTTTAAAAATGTCCACTAGTTTTAGAAAACCAAATAGACTGTCACTAGACCCTCGGGAGTAAAAGTATATTGAAACTCAAAACAAAGAATACAAGAGAATGATTACATTATTTTCTTGAGTACTGCGTTAATGTGCATCCGGGACACATCCCATTTTGGATTTTTTTGTGTAATATGTGCAGTAAAAAAATACATTGTATAGCTTCAGGTGATCAAACAGGGGAATAAAAACTTGGTCAATGGAAATGTGAAATTTGTGCCAAAGCATCACTTGACATGATCATTTACCATCTCAACAGTATAAATTTCCTGTTCTGCTAGGCATTGTTTTATACACAGAGATAAGATTACTGGCTGCAAGGAATACACTATGAGGTGAATACGATTCATATCACGAATATAGGGTAACGAATACGAATATTTATTCACGAATACAATAACAAGTCAGCAGTTGATGTACAATTTATTATTTTCAGTGAAAAATAACAACATCAATTATTTGACATGGTTGGTTAATTATTAATATATTATACATTCATATACTGCATTTATCCAGGTACTAGTATGTGCTCAAATACCACAATGACCGATGACCACAATACTGTCAAATTATATATATGAGTGTTGTCTTTAAAGACATCTCTGCATATAATATGTTCTTAGGGATATTTTTAGGTACAGGGTATGTAAATGCATATAACTGCATATTCATAAATATTCGATTCTAGTGACCCCGAATAACGAATTCAATTCATGAATGGATAGGGTTCGATTCACCGAATACACGAGTGAATCGTAACAGCCCTAAAGATTACCATGCATATTTGTCTCGTAACTAAGTCGGCAATGACAATAAGCTGTACATACTTTCTCCCAGACCCACCAGTGATACGCTTAAAAGATACTCAGTAATACAACCTTCAAGTATTTTGATGCAATGATCGGAAGAAATTGTATTTGAAGCTATCATTTTACCAGGAATGATATAATAAAGCATCGTTTAATGTAATTTTACTTACACTAATAAACTATTAGGAAACATTATGGAACTGCCCGTAGCTCTGTGTAGCAACAAGTCAATATCCAAATCGTTCAAAGGAAGAAGCACTGAGATAAAGTGACTGCAGCTAACCCTTTCCCTGTGACATGCCTGCTTTAAGGTTCTACTACACCAAATCAAAACCAGTTTGGACAGTGCGGTTTTTCGTAGGGAGCCTTCAGTGCAGATCGAGAGATATCTGCAGGCTGTGATTGGAGGATATTCTGTAAGATTTTTATGTCTTTCAAATGTACATCCATCCAGTTATTAAAACTGACCATGTTTTTCTATATTTAGTACTGTCTTTTTCAACATGATGACTTATGCTGAATGTGACCACAGCTATTTTCAAGTAGGTGACATTTGGTGCGAAACTGGGGGTGGTGTGTTTAGCTTCCTGTACTCAGAAAAGGAGCTGGCTAAGCTAGTCATTTTTTATTTTTTTATTGCTGCTCTAAGGCCGAACTGTGCACACACGTACAGGTAATAGCTGTTGAATGCTTAGTTATTTAAAAAAAAATATATAACGTTACTATAGAAGTCTATGGGAAAACATTTGGTTGTGTGTAACCTGTATGGCTTACTTTCAATTGTTTTAATGTACGACGTGAACACCGGCAGCTCCCAGTTCTTGTTCTTGTTTCTCCTGTACCAGATCTACAAAACAGTACAGAGAATGAAAACACCCACAAACGTCAATTACGAAAGAAAAATATAGTGGGTTGACTTGTGGACAAAATAATGAATATGTATTTAGGAAATTTGTGAATCTGGCAATTTTCCCAGTGTATGGGGTGATTCACTGCAAAGAAATCACATTTTTTATAATGTTTATTATCAATAACAAATATTGCCACATAGGGAAACTATTAAAACAACTGCCATTGTGGTGATTGCTGTAGTGAGTGAGTGAGTTGGGTTTAACGCCGCTTTTAACAGTATTTCAGTCATATCATGGCATGTCAGCTTAATGTGGGAGGAAAGCCCGAAGTGATGCAAGTCTCAGACGTTAACCACTTCGGTGAAACCCACGAGCACGGGTATGGTACTGACAAACCTAGAAACATAATCGGGGCGAACCGGGATTTGAACCCACAATCATAGGTTTCTGGCGTGCCCAAGGGATGCTACCCTGCACAGTGAATCGTGGCGCCTTAGACGACTGGGCCCCCCGTGCCCCCCGGTGATTGCTGTAACCACACCCGAGTTATGTTGTTTATGCTTTCAGTTACAGGTTTGCCTGCTACAATGATAATTCACAGGCCACCATGATATACCTGGAGTATTGTTGACTGGCATTATAACATTCACTCACTATAAAACAGAATCAGTTAGAGTTCAAGTTTTTCCTTCCTGTCTTACTTTGAAGTCATGAAGCTTGAGTTTCCAAAATCCCAATTTGGCTCTGATATTCCCCGCTAATCTGGACCTTCAAATTCATGGAAAGAGATAGGATGAGATCTCTGTGATAGGTTAAATGTCAAATAAACAGATTGACACCAACTCTCATAATATCCATTGGCAAAATTCATTGATGGACAATATTTCAATTTTTTTTATGAAGTACTGGACTCTTCATACTACTGAAAAAAATATATGAAAAAAGGATATATAAAACAAAAACCTGTTGAAGCCTGTGTGACCCATATAAATGTAATTTCACACAATTTGTACCGACTGGCAGATTGTATCGACATGTCAGTCAAGAGTCATCCGAAGATGACAAATATCCCGTCTCCACAACAGCAAAAGGCACCTCTTCAGCCTCTGGTTAAAACATGTACCAAGTTTGGATGAAAAAACTTACACAGTTTTCAAGTGATGCTCCGGAAATGATGACTATATCCCCATGCATTACAGACAACCCATAATTACAAAGGTTAGACACAGCAACTGTAAAGTCAACAAGCCCAAACAAATTTACTCTGACCTCGGACAAACAGTGAAAGTCACAGACTGCAAAATGTATCATAGACTAACTGGATACAGTTCCCTCATACCAAACAGAGCTCCAGATAAGCTGCGTATCTGCGTAAAATACGCATCAGAAATGCAGAAATGTGCAGTAAAATAAAATCCAAGCGTATCAAATACGCAACGAACATTACAGATACGCTACAAAAATAAAACTTGTGCGTATCATCAAAATATTGTGAAGTAACCCTGCGTATTCGATTTGCACTTCAGCAACTTATTTTGAAATTATAAACGGGCATTCCGCCAACCTTGCCAAACTCCACGATGACAGTTACATTATAATCATTTGCCATCACCCTTTCTTGTGGAAGTATCGTGGTATTTTTGAGTCCTATAAAGCTCTCGAACCCACACGACACCATTTTGCAGGGACTAGATGAATAGTGTTTTTAAATATTTAACTTAAATACCCACATGTGTAAAAACTAGTGGGTAACAGAAACTTGAATACCCAGATAGAATTACTGATACCCAATGATTTTAAAATGCATGGGTAAAATACCCACAACACCACAGATATTCTCTTCACCAGTACCTTTTCTCTTGTGCTGAGTGTACAGATTCCCCCAGAAAGTCCTCATCCACCTCATCCTGGTCTCGTGAAGGAATCTGTCCCACCATCGGACCCCAGGATGGCTTTGACTCGAGATTCTGTTCCCGGGGGTGATTAGTCAACACTCGGTGAGAGAACACCCTGCCAAGAGACATCCTGCTGTTTGTCGAGACCTGCGACCGGGACAGAACATATTTCTGGAAGATTAGAGATCTATTGTCAAAACAGAAACTTTCAAAATAAACTTATTTCTATGAACAATACTCTTCTACCTTGTCAACTGGTTCTTACCACTCCTTGTTTCTGGGGATGATGATGCTCACTCAAAGTACAAGTCAGATTTGTTGCTCAAGTCCATATCTTGTAGACAATTCTTGACTATTACACTCAACTGGTCCTCAGGTGTGCTCCTGACTTTTTGATACACAACACATATCAAGGGGATGCGTAGAAGAGACTGATGTTACTTCTTATCAACTCTTAACTCTATCACTTTTTCTGATCCGGTGAAATGAAATTGGGTTTAACGTCGCGTCCAAGATTATTGCCCTTATATAGTGACGTGCATGCACGCGTGTGTGTGTGTGTGTGTGTGTGTGTGTGTGTGTGTGTGTGTGTGTGTGTGTGTGTGTGTGTGTGTGTGTGTGTGTGTGTGTGTGTGTGTGTGTGGCTGCTTGTACTAGTCTGGACTAATGCCGATGTATAGTGCTAGCTCACTGAGATACCATGCTGCAGTTTAACATGAATACTAGAGTTGTGACGATACACATTGAAACCGATACGATACGTATTGCGATATTTGCTTTACGATTCGATTCAATTCGATTCGATTCGATATGTATCACGATACACAATTTACTGCTGAACATGCCTGTTTTTAAGAAAATAAAATCCTTAAACTAAATTCTGCAGTTTTGTTTTGTGTAATCCATGTAATTTTGTTCTTAAATTCAAGAAGTTAGATGAGAGAAAGATCTCAAAAACTTTTTATTTGAAACTTTTAATTAGGAAAATACAAAATAAAAATTAATTTGGCACACAGTGTAATTTGGCACACATATGAAAATAAATATTTCTTGGCCATTAAACCATGATTGGGTAAAAGTAATATTTTTATAATTATTAATTAAAAACAGTCAATGGATCAAGTGGAAAATTGATGAAAACGTTTGTTTACAGTTGATTAAGAAACCACGTGTTTTTGTTTATATTTTGGACAATGGACCAATCACGACGAACTTCCGGTCTATATATAGATCCGCACCAAGATGGCCTATCGTAGCGATATGAACTATGAAAAATGACTGATTGATTCATAATAGGGGGCATTTGGGGCCTCCAACTACTCAAGCTTTAACTTAACACTCAGTATGAGCAAAACTGTGAACTTTCTGATTGATATACAAATCCAGGACTGAATGTCTTGTCGGCCCTAGATCTCAAATCTACTCGCTAGGCCCCACCTCATCTGCTCATGCTGAACTGTGCAAATAGAAACCGACTGATGCATATATTGGGGGCATCTGGAGCCCCCAAACAGCCAAGCCTTATTTTAAGAGAGAGGTATCTTTCCGTTAATACCTCTATTCTTTATTAACAGAACTGTGAACGAAAGTCTGAAGATGTGTGCTAAGAGACGATATGTAGATCTATTTGTTAGATCTATAAGACATGGTAGAACTTTTTTATAGTTTTGAAATATGACCCTTAAAATGATTAAACATATGATTTAATTAAATATTGAGAAGATATAATTTATGATGTCTGTAATACTCAGGTGATGTAAGTTTGAAAGAAAAACAATGGAAGTTTCAGTCAAGCTCTTGATCACTTGAAGGTTGTCTATTTGCTTTTAATTACACTGTGTATACATGGCTACAGTACTGTTGTATAGACTATTTACAAATTACATCAATATAGATTGTAGGGAACACAAAGGTCTATTTTGAATTTCATTTTAATGGAGCAAAGAGGAGTGCTGTAGCTATGAACATAGGCTTATGTGTGATCATGGTGATGTGAGTAATGATTAGAATCTCTTGATAAGGAAACTCCTGATACTTAGGGAATCATATTGTAATTGTACAAGGATGTAAAAAAGACTTTGACCTGATCTATAGTATTTAATTACCATGAGATTAAATGTGATATGATCGGGTATACAAAAATGTACAAATAATATAAACAATTACATATATGTTGTTATAGCCATGATAATAGGAAGTGAGGTCTGGATTAACCATAGTCATCTATAGCAGAATTGGGACAGTTTTGTTGTGAAGCGGTTATATACAAAACTTATTCTAATTTTTATTTTACTTTTTTTCTCTTCTTTTCTTTATATGAAAATTATATACAGCCAGGTACTCTTAATAATATTGTACAAAGAAGCATATATATGAACATTATTGCATAAAGCTGGGTTGTAGCGAACAATGATTCCAAATGGAAGTCGTTTTAAGTATAATTTTGATACAGTTATATGAATTTTGTTTTCTGAATAAAAAATCCCACCCTTTTCAATATAGGGTCTACATGTGCGAACTTGATGTGATGATAGTCTCACAATATTTAATAAAGAATATTCAGTACAATATATAGATATGAGTAAATTTAATTATGAGGAAAAATAAATTAACTGTGATGTCATTAAACTGTAGAGGCCTCGGAGGTACATTTAAGAGAAAACAAATATTTAAATTTTTAAGAAGTAAAAAAGCACAAATTTATTGTCTACAAGATGTTCATTTTACAGCAGATCAAGATCAACAAATAAGGCAGCAATGGGGTTATAAAGAATGTTATATTGCCCCTTTTAAAAGTAATGCAAGAGGGACAGCAATTTTATTTACCCGGTAATAATAATTTTGAGTTCAAAGTTACCAAAGTATTATTAGATAAGGATGAAGGAAATTATGTTGCCTTAAATATAGAAATACAAAAATATGTATACACACTAATTAATATTTATGGGCCAAATTTGGATAAACCAGATTTTTTTGAAAAAATAAAAGAAACTATAACTGAATTAGAAGGGGACAGAATAATTTTATGTGGAGATTGGAATTTAATACAAGATATAGATTTGGATACATTTAATTATGAACACATAAATAATCCTAAACCCAGAAAGGTTGTTTTAGAAATAATGGATCTGTTGGATCTGAAAGATCCATGGAGGGAATCTAATCCAAATGAAAAGCGTTTTACATGGCGTCAGCCAAATCCAATTAAACAGGCCCGCTTAGATTATTTTTTAATCTCACAAAATTTTCAGTATTCAATTATTAAATGTGATATTAGTCCAAGTTAAAACTCTGATCATTCTTTGATTTCGATGACATTTAATTTATCAGATATGGAAAGAGGAAAAGGATATTGGAAATTTAATAATTCTTTGTTGTATGATAAGGAATATGTTGAACAAATAAAGAAAATAATAAAGTTTACCCTTAATCAATATGAGGATAAAACATATTTGGAAGGTAAAAAGTATGTGATTAATGATCAGTTATTATGGGAAACCATATTACTTGCTATTAGAGGAGAGTCAATATATTATTCATCCACAAAAAAAAAAAAAAATATTGTTAGAGAAAAAGAATTAGAAACTAAACTGTATGATCTGGAAACAAAAATAGATAATGTAGAATTAGAATTGGAAAAGACCAAAATATTGAGTACCATAGATGAACTAAAAGCAGAAAGGGAGGATATATATAAACTTAAGACACAGGGATTATTCGTCAGGTCAAAAGCAAAATGGATAGAGTATGGGGAAAAACCCATTAAATATTTTCTGCATTTAGAACATAGAATTTTTTTAAAGAAATCTATTAGTGAATTTATAAAAAGTGATGGAATAGTAATTAAAAAACAAAATGAGATATTGGAAGAAACAAAATTATTTTATCAAAAAATATATTCCAGTGAAGAATGTACACAAATTAATTTAGAAGAGCTTTTCACTGAGATAAATATTCCAAGACTAGACACAAATATTTCATTAGATTTAGAAGGTGAAATATCTTATGAGGAAGCTCTTGTAGCATTAAAAAATATGAAAAATGATAAAAGCCCTGGACCTGATGGCTTTACATCAGAATTTTTAAAATTCTTTTGGAATGACATTGGTAAATATCTAATAAATTCTCTTAACTATGCATACAGAAATGAATCTTTATCAATAACACAAAAACAAGGATTGATTACATGTTTGCCTAAAGAAAACAAATCTAAATTATTTCTAAAAAACTGGAGACCAATATCACTTTTGAATACCTCATATAAATTAGCATCAGCAATAATTGCAAACAGAATTAAAAAAGTACTACCCCAAATTATACATGAAGACCAAAAAGGTTTTGTTCCTGGAAGATATATTGGAGAAGTGACGAGGCTTATATATGATTTAATGGATTATACTGATACATACCAAATACCTGGTCTATTATTACTCATAGACTTTGAAAAAGCTTTCGATTCAGTGGATAGAAAATTTATTTTAGATGTTTTAGAATTTTTTAAATTTGGACCAAATATACAACAGTGGGTAAAAACATTTTTTAATGGTATGGAATCAAGTGTTCTAGTAAATGGTTTTGCAAGTTCTTTCATTAAACTAACTAGAGGTTGTCGTCAGGGCGATCCATTATCACCATATTTATTTATTATGTGTGCTGAAATACTGGCAATTATGATTAGGAGCAACAAAAAGATTAAGGGAATTCAAATGGGAAATGTAGAACATATCTTAGCTCAATTTGCTGATGACACTACTCTAAGTTTAGATGGTACAGAAAATGGCCTCTATGCAGTAATGAATACATTACAGTTTTTTGCTAGATTTTCAGGATTAAAGGTAAATACAGATAAGACCAAAATAATATGGATTGGATCCAAAAAGAGATCACGGTATAAACTATGTAAAGAATGGAAGTTAGATTGGACAAGTACAAAATTTAAATTGTTAGGAATAAATTTTGATGTGGACCTTGAAAAATTAGTGGAGATTAATTATGAGGAAAAACTGGAAAACAGCAAGAAGTTTGACACCTCAAGGCAGAAATGTAGTCTTAAAATCCCTTCTATTGTCAAAACTAAACCATTTATTCACTCCAATACCAAATCCTTCAGTCGAAACTATTGAAAATTTTCAAAAAAAATGTTTTAGATTTGTATGGAAGGGTAAACCAGA